ATCCGCCTGACAGCGCAAGACCAAGTCAACCCGGGCAAATTTTGATGGTTCTGTATTGAAGGCATCAACTACTACAGACGACGATAGGGCAATGGTGGTAAACCTATCTTTAATCCCTCTTGATTATGAAACTACGGATCTCTTAAAGAACGGGTTACATTTTTTACTAGGCAATGAAGGAAACGTTCTTAGTGATATTCTGGTGGAAGTTGTCAACATAACGGATAAATATCCAGAAGAGACAAGGCGAGAGATGGAACTGGAAATAATCCCACGGATTCTGACACATCAAGAACCGATACACAGGAGCAGATTGGCTGGTATACGGAAAAAATTACAAAAGAATGATCAAATAGTTCTGTATAACAGATAGAAAAATGTGTAAAGTATCAGGATGGTTGAAAAATGTAGTTTACAAATGGAATGCAGAAATCGCTTAGAGCCAACTACATCATTTATTAAATATTGAACATGCAAGTAAGCATGTTTATATCAGGCAGACATTAACCCGTATTAAAATGGACCGTTAGGTCGAGTGCTATTTTAATTCTGTGGATATTAACTTTCATGTCAAAACTTCGGTTAATCTGTTAATAGCCTCACAATGTAGTGTTACGTAAACAATGTGAAAGTGAAGGGCCTGATTCATAAAAAGAATATCCTGATGGCTATTATTATAGAAGAATAGGTAAAAATATATGTCAAATCTTATATCAATGCTGGCACATTTAAATTGCAAGTTGACTAAATATTAGGATATAAAAAACTGCCCTCGTATTAAAAACACCGGCCCATGAATGAGATGTATATTCAACAATTGTGACCCTATGTGTCAGCTGACCACTTGGTTCTAGCCTTCTCCACTATTATGTTTGGTAATTTTCGCAGATAATAATGTGCCAAGAGTTTGTAATACAAATGGATAAAATGAGGACTGCCTCACGTTGGGTCAAAATAATTATACTGGATTCATCCTACCTTGAGTAAGCGATCAACACGGAGCCCAGTTGAGGATACCAGCTGTGACCAGCCACACGTAACCAATGTGTGACCAGCCACAGTGATGTCAGAAATTTCTGCGGAATGCGCATCAATTTGTCGTACAATAGCTCGAACTGCTCGAGGATCAATCAACATTACCTAAATTAAGATAAATAAAAGAAAAAAAATTAATTTTGTAGATCATTACCAAAGCGAACTTAAAATGAGCATACGACCCAAATATCCCTCTTCTCACAATGTCAAATGTTCACATGCAGGGAATGTTAATCAGAATCTGCTTTATTATTATGCAGTCCTCTTCCCTAGTCTTAGCCCAGTCTCCATCTTACTCCGTAAAATCCGGGATAATAGGATGCAACCGGAAACGCGGATAACCCAGGGCGGAAGGGGAGGTACCATATTTGTTTAGCATACGTTTGGTCAAAGGATCGGCTTTACCTTTCTCTGACGAGTAGCTGTATGGTGCTTAGGATGGCGATACTCACTGACGATGCCGACTACGATGCCGGCG